GAGCCTAAACACGTTACAGAACTACATTTTATACATTATCCAGATTATGGCAAGGCAGAGCATATAATCAGAGTGTTTGAAAGCATTTTATTTGTGACATATAGAGGGACAGTGACACACTATTTGCATCGCATACAGTTTGTGAGGATTACACGATCCACCGAGAGGCACAGCAAAGTGCTGCCTCATTGCGCATCTCCTCCATGTATTTGAACGGGACATACGGAAATTCTGCTATTCTTTATTGGAAAAAAAAATCCTTCAACATCAGATTCGAATGGCAAAAGGGCCTACAACACACACCAGCTGACAAATATTAACATTTATTATATTTTATGGTTAACTTTTTTTTTTTTCAAGATTGACAGGGGAGGCTCTGCCTCACCTGCCTCCCCTGACCGCACGTCACTGTCTCTCAGTGCAGTCAGGATGAGGTCACCTCCTTCTGCAGGTGTTGAAGTGGCCACCTACACCACAAAGCAAAGTTAAGCTCATTCAGTCCACACATTTTATATATTCGAACATGGTATAACTGAAACAACATGCATCCTAGTCCTCTTACATGTTTGAAACTTGCACTCTTTTGATCCTCTCCAGAACAAATGGATGTGGAGCAGCTGGAGGATGAGGAATCCAAGGGGTAATCTGACTCTGGTCTTGGCTCTCTGTGCCCCTGTGGTGTCTGCTGGGAGTGGGTGTTGTCTTTGATGGATGGAACTGGTGGCAAAGGCCCTTTCAGAGCGAGGGAGATGGGCAGCCCTGCAGCTCTCGGCAGTGTCTGAGAGACAGAGCCTTTCAAATATACCAAAAACGTATTATTTTTACTTTTAATAATTTACTTTTGAAGGATAAAATTTAAATCACAGGATCATACACTGCACATTTTTCAAGATAAAGTACCTCTGTTCCTCAACTCTCTTTGCACAGCCTTTAGTCCTCCAAATTTGTTGATGATGCAGTCTACAGCCTCAGCAATGTCTTTGTCTTTCAGATCTTCCTCAGTGAGTCTGGCCTGCATCAGCGGCCTCCTCGTAGCAGGGTCTAGATCATTAAACTTCACCAAGTAGATACAGCACAGAATGGCTGATTATAGACTCATTACTGCATCTACTGTATGTGTAGTGTGTGGTGAAGTGAATTTTGGTTTCATGAAAACAATTCTTTGACTCATGAATTACTTTTCCTGTGCATGTTTTGACTCACTGAACTAGTGGTTGGTGTATCTGTGGTGGATGGTACTTCCATGGGGAACTGTTGCTCCCTGTCCAAATGGTTCACTGGTTTCATTCTTCAGAGAGCAGTAATCAATATACACCATCACATTTATCATATCTTTCATTCACTTTACATCTGTAAAGTGGCAGTGTTTGCTGATCTTACCCTGAATCAGGGCGATCAGATGTTGAGCTGTCTGCCCTCTCAGTGCTTGTCATTTCTATCATGCTGGTCATCTTTTCTGCAAATGAAAGAAGTAAATGGAGACTAATGAGAAATACAGAGGTTAAATGGAATAAGTGTTTGCTCACTGCTCTGCTTTTATGGGAAGACAACAAACATCTTTTATATATGTCGATACATACAGTACAGTATAAGTGGTTATTTTAACCTTGGTCTCTTTGGACAGCCTTCTCTGCAAGATGAAATTCCTCTGCCTCCATCTCACTGGCAAAGTTGAGGCCTATCTGCTGGAGCTGTGTAAACAGTAAAAACCACTTTAAACAAACCAAGACTCAGTAAATGTTGTGTGCACTGATATTTAAAACAGCATCACTTACATCTGCAGGGAAAGTGTGGAAAAATGCATGGCTGGCAGTGTATTTGAGTGGGACATACAGCTCCTGCTCCCACAACAACTTGGTTTGCTGAGATTAAGGAAGAGTAAGGGGAGGAAAAAGGAAAAGGGTAATAAACAGCAACCACAGGAGTTACAGTAAAAGTGCAGGCACACCCTTCAAGCTAAAACTCCCTATTGTTACTAAAGGAAATTGCTACAAGCTGTCTCATGCTAAGAGGACAAAGTGAACAGTCACTTCAATGAGGGATATGGTATACATGTTTCAGTCTGTGTGGGCGGTGTGTCTCTAATCAGGTCTGCAGTTCCTCTTACTTTGACACAGTAGAGACGCAGGAAGTAGGAGTGAACCGACTCATCCTCAAAGAGACACACGACGCCACAACCTAAACAACCCCAGCCGGGATGTCGACCCTGGATATCTGCGGCCTCTAATACTTGAGCTACTGCAGATTTGATTAGCTGAAACACACCAGTCATACAAACTACAACAACAAAATATGCATTTGCTGTCATTTAAATCCAGTGTAATAACACATTATCTGTGCATATGTATGAGAAAGTAGAGCACAACTTAATCCATCTTTTGCATTAAGTGAGAGTCAGTTGTTTTGTGTATTCCCTAATCTTTACCAAAGACAACAACTACACTTCTTATCATATTTTGTGAAAAAAAACAGTACTTAAAGAATATAAAGTTACAACAAATCTGGTCTCTATCTACACTACAGTCTTACAGTTCATTTTCATGGACTGGCTGTTACACACTGGCAGTGTGTTAACTGTGTTTCACTTCTCTTTTACTGTATATTTTCTACTTGTCTTTTGCTTTCATTGTTTTTATATTTTTGTTATTCACTTCCTTTTTAAGTGCTTTAAGGGATTATTATTGTACTTTTAACATCTTGCAGCACTTGGTCTGCTAACATCATATCAGATATATCAGATGCTAATTAAAAATCAGCCCTCACAAAACAAAACTACATTAAAATCATTCACATGTTCAGCTTCACAAATGAAAGTTTTGCTTTAAAAATATTTAACCTTTATAACACATTGAGTCGTTGTCAGAATTATTTAGCCAAGTTCCATTAATTCTTAAAATGTGTATTTCAGAGAATATCAAACACCAAATGTCCATTTAATTTGAATGGTTTGCTATAAATGTTTATACACAGAAAAAACCTGAGGTAAGTAATTATTCAGTTGTATTTTATAGATATTAATTCAAAGTGACTCTAATGAATCGACCCGACCTTGCACTGAGGCTCTAGCAGATTACAGAGGACGGTTTTCTCACGAATCGTCAGGAGATCGCTCATTACATGAGCTCCAGGAACCAGGCTAGACGCCATCTCCAGGACCGTTGTTTATTCTCACACGCTGCCTGCCTCTGGCCTTTCATCCTTTCCAAGTGTGTCCACTGAACACATTTGGCCTAAATACACTCACTCCTGATCCCAACTGTAACCAGTTTGACTGGGAATATATTTCCAGTTGAGTGACGGAGATCATGCAAATCTATATGACTTATTGTGCACTGTGCGCGTGCCGTGGCGGTCAGTAACCAAATGAAGACGCGTGTACAGTGTACAGACAACTGAACAAGTGACAGGATAGCAAGAAGACATTTGTTAATTATATGTATTCAAAATGAAAGTTACTAGAGTTGCCATGTGTCAAGAGTATTTGTAGTACTGTACATTTTAATCACATGCAATTCACTTCCCTGTCCTGCCACAGCAGCTGTGTGATACTTTAACTACAATATGCTGCTTACATTTTGGTTTAATTCTAAGATTTGTACTTGACATTGTGCTACTTCATCCGCCACCTGCTACACCTGCTTTTGTGATCCTATACACATTAAAACATAACAGTGGGTTGAGGTTTCACAGGTTTAAAACCCCATACAGCAGGTGTTTTCATTTTGGTAGAGCCTCTGTGAGGAAGACATTTCAAGCAGGCAGCGACCATTCATAGTTTAATATCTTTTGATTGTTTATATTATAATACCCGCATCATTAACCACAATAAAAGCCCTCTACAGGACTTATTGGGTGGATGTAAACCTGCCTAATAAATCTCAGTTACAACTTTCACCTTTCATTTCTGCATTTGACTTGGTCTAATTTTCATCAGACAACAGTACCAGCTGGGTTTATGCAATGGGTCAAAGAGTATCTTTGCCTGACAATACAAAATAACACAGGATAAATGCATTTTCATCTACAAAAGTGACACAATGCAGCTGTAAAACATAAAAAAAACAATTTTATTTAAAATGGAACAAAAAGTCAGTAAATACAATAAAGGGAAGTGAGATGTGAAATATTGTTTACTCTGGCTTGTATGTTACTTTTGTCCAGTAATCATTCCCCATGTTCTTCAGAAAATGTAACTTCCCTGTGACTGTTACACACCTCTCCTCCATCGGCTTCTCCTCCGCCACTAGCTCCCGCAGGCCTAGGCCTTTTGCGTCTCTTATTGAGCAGAGGGTTGTTGGACGTGTCCAAATCTTTGATCTTCACCTGGTCGTAGTCTACTCGCATGGTGGCCAGGGCGCTGGTCATCTCCTCCTGATGGAAGACACTCTGTGCTGTGAGTCTGATGTTACACTGCCACCTTGTGATTACATTCTGAAAACTCACCTTTACATCATCCCACAGCTCCTTGTCTTCTGTCAAAACGCGAGAGGTGTGGAGGGGTGTTGGAGGGACCACCATTGACTGCTGCGGTGTAAGAAACATCCATCGGCACACAGGTGGAATAACAGGCCTAGAGTCACAAGGTTTACAAAGTGTTAACTTACGCTAATCCATGGATGGTTCATGAACTGCTCAATGGTCATCCTCTCGCTGGGGTCTGTCTTCAGTAACTGAATGATGAGCTGTTTGGCTGCAGATGACATTAAAAAGAAAACACCATGAAACAATCTCAAGCATTTAGTATAATGTCCTCTTAAAGAGCAGAGTTTATGTTGCAGTGTTTCTCTGCTGATGCATTGTTGGAAACAAAACACCTGTTCTGAAAATGTCAAAACTGTTTCCATTTCCAAAGATGCTGGGGTCTCATAACTCTTCAGTCATCAAATTCATGTACCATTTACAGTATGACTGAGATGCTAGTGAACATTTGTTTTTCTGAAATCAGTGAATACCAATTTAAATCCTTTTGCTGCTGCTATGTATTTTATGTCCAAAGTCTGACCTTCCTCGGAAACATCAGCCCACTCAGGGTTGGGGAACTCATACTGGCCCAGCCTGATCCTCTGTTTCATGCCTGGAGAGATGGCCTGACCTGTGTTCGAGTAAAACGGAGGAAACCCACACAGACTAGAAAACAGAAGAGAAGGCTATGTTATGTTGATGCCTTCTTTACATTCTCCATACAAATGTGCAGAATGAATACAAATGTACAGTACACCAGAGGAGCTACACACAAAGATGTATGTGATACTCACAGAATATACATGATTACCCCCAGAGACCACATGTCACATGATTTATCATATTTCTCGGGCCCAAGCACTTCTGGGGCTGAAGGCACAAATAGATACAGAAAAAACAATAATGTGGAGAATGAAAGACACACTCACACAAACGCAAGTCAATATGCAGACACATGTGGACAAAAACGAGAGTGAATGACAGAATCTAAAACCTTTGTCTGAAATATCACATTTATAATACTGGCACAAATGCAGTGTATCCTCTGGTTTCACTAAAACTCCCATTCCTACAGGACAGCAAACACTCACCGACATAATATGGAGTGTAACAGGGAGTCTGGAGGGAGTTGTGAAGTGTCGTCTCCTTAGCAAAGCCAAAGTCAGTCAGTTTCAGTGTGGCGTTACTCTCCTTGGTGGTGTAGAGCAGGTTTTCAGGCTGTTGTGTGAATTAGAGATTCAATACAATGCATTTATCTAGAAATTTGCTCTTGTGTTCCCTCTAAAGAAGCTGCAGTACCTTCACATCTCTGTGAGCGATGTCCATGTGGTGAAGGTAATCGATGGCTGTACCAATGTCACGCATGATCTCTGATGCCTCTGAGGGACAGAGGTGACACAGGTGGTGACACAGGTGGTGACACAGTCTAGGCTCATGAATCTTAAAGTGCTGAATGTGAACTCACCTCTCTCTGTGAAGGCCTGGTCCCCTCTGGCTTGAATGCGACTGAACAGTTCCCCTCCCTCCATACTGAGACAAGATGAACAAAGAGATCAGAACTGGGGCAGCGAGGAGACTCTTGGCAAACAACCACAGCTGTCCACTACAATTGTGATTTTTTAACAAAGCATGTCACTGTGCCACCCTATTTACTGCTCAGATGAGTCCAGTCTTCTGGAGCCAATCCCAGCTGACACTGAGTGAGAGGCGGGGTCCACCCTGGACAGGTCACCAGTCTATCACAGGGCTGACATGTAGATAAACAACCACACACATCCACACTCACTCCTAGAAGCAATTTAGGGTCACCAGTCAACTTAGGCTGTATGTTTTTGGACTGTGGGAGGAAGCCGGAGTACCCAGAGAGAACTCACGCAGGCACAAGGGGAACACACAAACTCTGCACAGACAGTCACTGGGTTGGACTGGGCTCGAACCCAGAACCTTCCTGGTGTGAGGTGACAGCACTAACCACCATACCACCATGTCATATTATTATTATTATTATTATTGACGCATGTGTTCCCATTTAAAACATCTATCTACTGTATAATGCATTATATTGAGTCCATTCTCTAACACAACACTCACAGTTTGTGTCTGATTTTTACTATCTTGTTCTACACTGTGAAGTCTCACTTTTAATTTTGTCTTTGAGGTTCAGGTTTATATTATATTTAAAGTACTAAAAATATAGGCAGATCATATAAGAAACACGTGTATTTTCCCCTTATCAGTGTTCAAGTTTGAAATCAAATGCAAGTTAAAAGTAAATTTTGGTCTCTCTGGTCACTCATTCTGCGATGAATTACTAGATCAAGTGTGAGTTTAAACCAGTCTCAGCTGGCTTTAGACACAATCATTTTCAGATACAGGATTTAGGTTCTGAACATGATACAGCATCATAAGTGTTAATTATTCACATATGAAGACTTAATTCCTCTACTGTTTAGATTAAAGGGATTTTTTTTTTCAGACTCACAGATTAACACAAAATCATACATCACTGCAGGAAAACAGAAATCTATTTTAGGTAATGCTCACCACTCCATTATAACGAGGAGACACTTCTTGCTCTGGTGCATGTTCTCATACAGGCTGAGTATGCGGACAACGTGGGGACCTCCAGACACTCGCCAGTGCAGCTCAACCTCCCTTCTGGTTTTAGGAGTATCATACAGAATCTGCTCAGCAGACAGTCACAATAGAACATAAGAAATGTTAATGAAATTCTTCTGTTTAAATATCTACCCAAATGCATGGTTTTGCATCTGCATCTGTAGATTACAGTGTTCTAGACAGAAACACTTTGATTTTAAAAAAAACCTTTGCTGGACATCTGTGTCAGGAAATCAATACATACCCAGATACACAAACACACGGCCCATTGTGAAGTCACTGTTTACAGCACTGGTAGTAACCACTTCTAAAGCCATTAATCTATAGCTGTTTTCAAGCCAGTCATTTCCACTGAGAACATTAGGAGTGAGTACTGCAAGACTGCTTTAGCAATGTGCGTTGCCTTTAAAGACACAGTGCTGCAGCAGTGATATCTCAGACAAGGGAGAGCCAGATCGGACTTTCCCAGACATGCAGACCCCAGCCCAAACCCTTGTAGACATTAAAATGCATTTTGCTCCCTGGAGGAGGAAGAAAGCTGAGATGTTTATAAGTGCATTCCTCCAACGCCTCTATGCACCGATTTACCACTCAAAGAGCACAAGATTACTTACAGCTCATTTTTCAAATTTCAACATGTTTTGATTGTGGTTTACCACCAAAGATATTCCAAAGAAAACATGTAGAGACACTCATGACGCTGCTTTTTTCTTGAGCCTTATCCTCAAACTACCCTCAGCTGTTTATTTACTTATGATTCCTTAATTTATCACAGCAAATGTTTTGCCAGTTGTACTGTAAATATATAATACTAATACTGATTTTTGTGTTTGTTAAATGCCACCAGCACAGATGCTTATACCAAGTATTGTTTGCACAACAACCAGTGTCAAAACAACCCAGACAGCAGATCACTGGCTGTCAGACACATCCACTGTCTGGGCACTTCAGTAACTGAACTGGCTTTACAGCTCCATCCATTTATGGTTAAATCGATATTTCACCTGTGTCATATCTTATAGACATTCATTTAAATTGCAAACCATTACTGGCCCTCAAACTTTACATAAGAAGGAAAAAAAAAATCAATATTCTGAAAAATAAAAGGCACCAGTAAACAGTAGCGAACAGGAGCTGAGGACAGATGAATAATTGAGGTGTACTCTCTTTTCACTGATAGCAACCTTCAGGGGACTGTTTAGACCACACATGATAAGAAAAGAAAAGCAGACACACACACACACACACCTTGAGGGCACACTTTTCTCCTGTTTTCTTGCAATAACATTCCAGCACTTTGCCATTGATTCCCAGGCCGAGAACCTGGGTTGTGATTTTATAGTCGTCTGTCACTGCATTTCTCCTGAATTCCAGTTTACAGTAAGCAGGTTGCTGGGGGTCAGTGTCCAAGCTGCTTCCCAGACTGTTGGAGTCACCGTGCCGCGCTGTCCCGTGCTGTGCAGTAATTGGATTTCCCGACTGCTCCTCCTGGTTATGATGCATTTTCTTTCCAGAAAAAAGCTGAGTGGTGCAGAGGAAATACACGGTGTTAGCCTAGTTCATCCGAGTATGTTCAGAGGACTTTCGTACTCCAAATCATTTCGACCCACTTTAAACGCTGTAGAAGAAAAATGGGGTATGCAATCTGAAAACCCTCCTTGGTGTAGTCTACGAAAAAGGGCGGAGGTCTAGAATCGCTGGTTATATTGTCATAAGGAACTTTAAAAGACTTGATATGGATAATAAAACACTGAGTGGCCGAGAGAGAATAAAATGTTCTTAAAAAACAATCTGGCACCCCTGCTGGGTCCTCATTACGGTTATCTGCCTCTTCCTGCAGGGTCGGCCAACCTCCCCAGCTCCCTTACGTCAGCGCGGAGTGGCTCTGATTCATTCACCATTCAGTTTCCTTAAAGGAGCAACAACGCGTAAAGACGCACGACAGTGACGGTAGAGAGAGCAAACCAACTCATGTTATGACCAGAAATGACTGTTGTCCACGTCCAGGGGCGTAAAATGGGAACTTCCATTATTGATGTGCATCCTGTGATCAATACAGCAATTCACTTGAAGTTTATTTTATTTTATTTGGAAATGGAATGTCTTTCCGGCTTTCCAGTTCACTACATTTCATCTCGGTAAAAGCACAACTCGCATCAGTGCAGAATGGCACTTATAGACATTCCCTAGACAATTAAGAGCCTCGACTGGAATGGGATCACCAGAGAACATTTTAACACTAACACTACTGCTGTGGCGGCCAGGGTTTGCCACGTTTTGTCTGGTTTCCCTCCATTCCCACCATTAACCTGTTATTTACAATTTATTGACTAAATAATTCTGTGGATTATGGACACAAAAACAACCTATATGAGAGTTATAATTTATACAGGCTTTTGATAATTTTCAGCACCAAAGATAAAGAACATACTCGTCACATACCATTGCAACTCATTTATTAACTAATGAATTACTGGCTGAATATTTAGAAGGCTTCCAGTGAACTGAGCGGTCTTTGTGGGTGAAATCTAATAATATGAAAAGCTAGATCTACTGAAGTGATTACAATTACACATTTCCTTTTCTGTGTGGTTTTAGCTGGTTGTTAACCCATGCTAAGTGGCTGGCTAGCCCTGCAGGGCCCGATCCAGCACTTGCTCATCCTGCACAGGAAAGGGCATGGTGACCCGCAGCTGCCTTTGCTCCTCCATGGTGCGCTGAATGGTCTCATAGGCATTCGGGTTTCCAGACCAGCAGCGACGAGCCACCTGCAACACACAGAAACCCACAGATTACAGCCAGTCAGTGATCATGTGAAATCTGAGCAGACTGTAAATAATGAGTGAGGCTGGAACACATGATCCTGCTCTTCTCTCTTCACTCTCACCCCATTAGAAACATCCCAGTTGAGCATCAGACTGGCACGTTTTGCTGCCTCCTCTGAGCCATCCAGTAACAAACCAAACCCTCCATTCATTACCTCGCCCCTAGAGGTGAAAGGTGAAATATAAGATAATATAGAAACACAATAACTTCGTAATAGGTGAGTATTAATTAAATAAACGGCTTTGATGGATGAATATTCACAAAGAACTTAATGCCCAGCCAGCTTTACCAGCCAACACCACCACCGTTGTGCAGGGCAACCCACGTGGCACCTCTGAACGCATCACCGACAAAGTTCTGCACCGCCATGTCTGTAAGGGGAGGACACTGTGAGCTGCAGTATTTCTGGTTTATACGAATAAAGAGAGACAGAAAAGCTGGGGAAAGGAAAAGGAAAAGTATGCTTTTTTCGATATGCATTATCAGTTTCTATTTGCAGACAGTTAATTTAACGTCTTCCTTTATTTTTACCATAGTTAGGTTAATGTGTTGTTGTGGACTGCACATACCTGCACAGAAGGCAGATCCATCATACACATTAGAGGTCTCTCTGAAGGGGCTATCTGTGCCACTGACATCATGATGGTCTCTGCTAATAACCACAGGAGCCTGAGCAAGAGAGACAACAAAACAACAACAGCCACTGTTGATTCTCCATGCAGTCTGCAGTAAACATGACATGATCTTCTCAGCAGATGGTTTATTCTTTTACTGAAACTCTTCCATCAGCAACAGCCTGGTTGATTGCCAAAGCAATGCTGACTCTTCCTTTCTGGTCAGAGTAGAGGATTCTGGCTTGGGATCCCACAACCTAAGCAAAGAGAAATCACAGAAGAAATCATTTGTAACTATCACTGAGATTTGCATTGAGAGACTTACAAAGCAACGGACCATTTTGTGTTTTCTAGCCTCTCTGATCCAGCGGATGTTGTCATTGTACTGCTGTCTGATACTATCAGTCACACCTGAACCGATTTCTTCCAGGACAGTAGCAGCAATGTCATCGGTTACAGTGAGATCTTGGGGGTCACCAGATGTGCACACCCAGCGAAATGGGCCAAAGCCCAAAGAGAAAATGTCCCTGCATCAGAGGCAGAAGGAGAGAGATCAGAGGATGCAGTCAAAAAGATCTTGAAAATGCAACTGGACCTTGGCTCAACATTATTATGTTATTTCTAAGATTAAGAATTAAATTTCACACTCTAGATTTAGGTTTTAACTGCCAAAAGCCTGCAGTATGTATTTCTATGCTAGATTAACAAAACAAAAAAATGTTTCACCCCATAATGTGCTGGACATAAGAAGGGTAACGAAATTCTGTTGCTCCTCCGCCAACCTTTTCTACCTCTGCTCCTATAAAACAATAAACACAAGTGTCTTTATTGGACTGAATAATAATGACCATATGTTCTGTGTGTTTTCGTGCTAAACTGCTTGCCAGCTCTCTGAGCCTCCAGGAGAAATGCATTGCCATAATCCCAGAAGAACATCCCTGCATCAGATAGCTTGTTGATGGCCTTCACCTGTCGTCTGAGACTGTGGGAGGATGTTAGACACTTCTTATTTCAGTTTAATAGACCTATATATTCCATAAAATATCCATAAGAAACTCTGTTAAATGAACCTTTCTTGGACCATGGTTTGGAAATGTTTAGGATCGGCCGACATAAGCTGGTTCGCCTGGTGGAAGCTGAGCTGGACTGGGTAGTAGCCTCCGTTGAATGGGTTGTGAAGGGATGTCTGGTCTGAACCCAGATCAGCTAGGCACTCCCCTGTCTGCTCATACTCCATCACCAGCCGCTCCCTGAGTAGAAAGGAAAGAAAAGCAGAGCAGAGATTTCAGGAATATTAAACAAAAAGTGACTCTTTCACTCTGTCACTGTGGCTCTGGGTTGCGTCTGTGTCACAGAAAAAGTTCATATCTCACTCACCACAAGTCTACGATGTTGCCATGGTAACCCAGACTGAGGGGAGTCTTGCGGCTCTTGGCCTCTCTGTAGAAAGAAAGAAAGTATTTTCAGGAATTTAGAGCAATGTGCTAAGATGCTGAACATATAAGCACCTGACTGACCTGGTAGTGGTGGCATGTAACTGCAGTAAGGACATAAAGTCTGAGGTACTTGTATTTGTGTATTTCCATTTCCTGCCATTTAATACTTTGACTGCACTACTTTTCACAGGGAAATAAAGGGAGACACTGTACTTTCCATAAAAACATACGACAAGTTTATTTAATAAGTTGCAGCTGTGTAATTAGACTACCTAACAGCATAGTTAAAAATAACACCACCTTGACCTGCAACAAACAAAGCTAGTCTGACGTTTTGGGAACTATGCTTATTTACGTTTCTTGACAAGAGTTAGAAGAGAAGATTGACACTACTGTCATGTCTGCCAGTTCAATATGTAGGTGGAGCCAGTAGGTGGTTAGCTTAGCTTAGCACAAAAACTGGGAACAGGGGGAAACAGTCAGCAAAAATAAGCAGCTCTGGAGTCAGGAAGTTACTGCACCTGGCCAAGAAATTTGGCACATAGCTGCTGGTACTGTCAGTACATTTGGCTAACAATACTGACGTACAGTACTTTTGCTTAAAGTGAATGAGAACAAAGAATCAGCGTCAAAGCAGGACTTATACGGGAATGTGTGTGGCATTGTTACTTTTACCTAGGTAAAGAATGTGAATATGCCATTTTGCTTAGCTAACATGCTGGGCTGCCAATTAATAGTGCAAAGATAGAACTGACACTATGATGTCTCACACTCATACAAAGAAACACACTAAAGACTGTCATATTAAAACCCTCAGGGTCATCAATAAAGTTAAATGTAAGAGTAGTACATAGGCAGCAATGATTATTTATGATTTCTGAATGACTTGGCCATTCATAATTCATCTCAATAATTTATTCCTCTCTGTTACCGGATGCGTTTAATGCAGTGCTCCAAGCTGCTGGAGACCTCCATCAGCCAGCCCTGCTCATGTCTCTTTCTAAGGGGAGACTCATCCACCTACAGAAAAAACAAATCCCCTCAGTCACATGAACAATTGCAGCACTCAGCCTTAATAGTAATGACTGGATACCAGCGGACCTCTGCAATCACGCCAACACAACCGGCAATGACAGCAGCTTTAGCCTGAGCTCCACTCATGCCCCCCAGCCCAGAAGTCACAAAGACACGTCCCCTCAAGTCACCAGAGCCCAGGTACCTCCGACCGGCATTCAACACCGTCAGCTACAGAGAAAAACACAAAGAAACCAATTTAACAAATGACAAGAACTACACCCTACAGGCCACGTCTTTCCTCGTCGTATGTTGAACGCTTACCAGCTTTGAAGATTCCTTCAAAAGTGTGAGATTTCCTCCTATTAAAATAATTCTTAAAATAAAACTCTCATCTACAGTATTTAACAAAACCCCTGACTTAAATTCAGCCATCTTTTCCACGAGGAAACACTGGGCATTCTTTTTTATTTAAATCTCTCACAAACCATAGTGCCATGAACAATCCCCTGAGGTCCAATATAGCAGTAGCTGCCTGCTGTCATTTGACCATACCTGTAAAAGCACAACAACAGTACACAGATTGCATCAAACACACCATGGGCTTAAACTGGCAGCATTTTCTTGTATAATCATTACTCTACTAATAATAAATAATAGAGAAACCAACAACAACAAATGAGAGCAACTTAGAAACTTACATTGATACACCGAGAGCAAACATCTTTTCATACTGCTCTCTGGAGGAATAGTTTGGAATAACCTGAGTGACGCCAAAAAAAAGTACATACAGTATGTGAGTACACTGGGACATGTGGCCTGACAATGTCAGTTTATTAAGTCAGATGTGTGTTGTGCAGTTACCATGCCGTTGGTGATGATGGCACGAGGTGATGAAGGTAGGCTGGGGAACAGGCCCATGGGATGACCGCTGTACATGACCAGAGTTTGTTCCTCTGTCATCTGACTCAAGTAATGCATCACCAGTCGAAACTGCATTCACACACAAATCAGTAACCATCTAGTCGGACTGTATATAAAGGTATCATTTCCAAATCCAGTGGATAAACAAAAGGTCACTCTGGACTTACCTGGGCCCAATTACTAAACACCTGTCCGTTCCCTCCGTAGGTCACAAGCTCCTGGGGAAACTGGAGGAGGAAAGAATAGTAAACTTCACATAGGGATTTAGCAACCATAGCCCAACTAAGTTAATACAAGAAGCTCACCTGAGCAACTGCTGGGTCCAGGTTGTTCATGATCATTAGCATCATAGAGGCAGCCTGACGTGTGCGGCACGGGTACTGATCTATGGGGTAGGCTCTGAGGAAAGATGAGGAAAGTCCTTGAAGCAAGACTATGTCACTTTTGCTGAACAGCAGCCATTGTGGCCACAGGCTTTATTTCGTTGACTTTTCATTTGTTTCTGGCAAGGTACGGTGTGCTCACGTCTCCTTATTTTGTGGTAAAATCACTGAAATGATTGTCTGGGAAGAAGTCAGTTACACAGCAGTTTCTATATAAAACTGGCAATTAGCCACCGTTAGCTGCTGGTCACTATAGCAGCAAAACCAGTGGTGGACAAAATACTCAGCTCCTTTACTTAAGTAAAAGTAAAAGTCTAAAAATACTCTGCATTCAAAATGTCACTTAAAGCTACAACTCTGTGTAAATACAAAAAGTTTGATATACATCTTGTGCAATTTTGAAGGATAATTGTCAAAATATTTATATTAATTATATGTACAAAACTGCCAGACAATACATACAGTGCCTTGTGAAAGTATTCGGCCCCCTTGAACTTTGCGACCTTTTGCCACATTTCAGGCTTCAAACATAAAGATATAAAACTGTAATTTTTTGTGAAGAATCAACAACAAGTGGGACACAATCATGAAGTGGAACGAAATTTATTGGATATTTCAAACTTTTTTAACAAATAAAAAACTGAAAAATTGGCCGTGCAAAATTATTCAGCCCCCTTAAGTTAATACTTTGTAGCGCCACCTTTTGCTGCGATTACAGCTGTAAGTCGCTTGGGGTATGTCTCTATCAGTTTTGCACATCGAGAGACTGAAATTTTTGCCCATGCCTCCTTGCAAAACAGCTCGAGCTCAGTGAGGTTGGATGGAGAGCGTTTGTGAACAGCAGCTTTCAGTTCTTTCCACAGATTCTCGAGTGGATTCAGGTCTGGACTTTGACTTGGCCATTCTAACACCTGGATATGTTTAGTTGTGAACCATTCCATTGTAGATTTTGCTTTATGTTTTGGATCATTGTCTTGTTGGAAGACAAAGCTCCGTCCCAGTCTCAGGTCTTTTGCAGACTCCATCAGGTTTCCTTCCAGAATGGTCCTGTATGTGGCTCCATCCATCTTCCCATCAATTTTAACCATCTTCCCTGTCTTGTTGATTCTTCACAAAAAATTACAGTTTTATATCTTTATGTTTGAAGCCTGAAATGTGGCAAAAGGTCGCAAAGTTCAAGGGGGCCGAATACTTTCGCAAGGCACTGTATCTGATTTATTTTACTCTCAAATACCAATACAAATACTGGTTTAAATAACAAAGACTCACAGTTTCTTTATCAGGTTGCCTCACCTCATGCGTAACGTGGGGCAGAAGCGATACATGTAAATGTGCCCGTACTGCCGCAGCTCTTGAGCAAATTCGGGTGCAAGCGTTGCGTGGCAGGAGGGAGGGAAATATCGCAGGGCATTTCTCAGCGCCAGCTAGAAGGAAGAGTCATTTACGGTCAGTTAATGAACATGGTGCAGAACAGTGTTTCAGTATAGTCAGACAGATGAGTAAACCTTTTACCATCTCTGTTGTTTGTAATACTGTCTCTGGATCTCTCTTAATTATTGACTGAAGCCTTTGCTCTGAGTTTGAATCTGAGCATTTAGCTTTGGAGCCCATGAGTCAACAGCGGTGAAGCAATAAGACAGAGTGCACAGCAAGGCACGTCAGCTGTGCTTCCATCTGATACGTTCATAGTGGAGCCACTGTCTGGCATGACAACAAGCTATAGCCCTGTTCAAGCTCACATTCTTCACAATGAAGTTTAAAGTGATCTGCTTTTTCTTATTGATATTTGTACACACATATAATAACTTCACATACTTTTTCACAGACTATGGCCTGTTATATGGGAAAACATGAATATTAGATTAATTTGTGCACAAGAAAGAAATGGATAAAATAAAATGTGGCCATTAATAATTGTATTATACAGTATGTGAAGTTTAAATGGTTTTAAAAAGTCTCAGATTTAACCAGGACTGGACGTAAGTAGTTGATTACTTGGATATTCGTTTGTTAGTTAGGTAATCGGTTTTTATTTTTAGTATTTAAATATTTGAGACAGCAGGAAAGTTCAATGAAGTCTGAGTCCGATGACAGAGAGCAAAGACGATGGAGATAGCTTGGTGCGCTAGCTGGTGCTCACATCTCTGGAACAGTTGGAGCAGTTGTCCACGTTAACGTGCGTTACTCTGATAGACAGACCAGGTATTCTAAATCTAAATGGTGACTTTCTTGCCTGAAAGAATATCAAAACTCAATAAAGTAGCATAAGACTAATCCTAGTATGAAATATTCAGATTCATAGTTCCAGAATCAATAAATCATAAGCAAAACTTCATTAAAACTGGGTGGCTGTGGCTCAGGAGGTAGAGTGATCGTCTCTCAACTGGGAGATTGGCGGTTTGATTCCCGATCTCCCCAGTCTGCATGTCAAAGTGTCACTGAGCAAGATGCTGAATCCAGGGTTGTTTCCAGTGGGCAGGCCAGCATCATCACTGGTGTGTGTATGCAAATAGTAATGGCACTGCAGTTGGCTGCCTTGGTTAAACTCTCTCTAGTGGAGATCCTCTGTACTGAAGACAAATTCCTTGTGTGTGTTAAACATACTTGGTCAATAATAGTGATTTAAATTTATATGTTACACCCATTTAAAGGGTTTAAATACACATCATGAGGTCTGTTTGGTTACTGATTTACAAATCATTGTGTAGTAAAGCTAATAAACATTTTGAATGTACAGAAATTGTTAGTACTCACCCGCTCCTCCTTTGCTGTAAGGTTGGGAGTCCGAATAGGTGCATGTGGCACACTAGGATCTCTTCCCTGGTTAGGTGGTAAAGGGTCCAGGGGTAAACCACTGCAAATCTCCTTTAAATTAGACATCCTGCTGAGAAATACCTGTCACACACTTGGACAGAGAGACCTGGAGACAGATATCAGGCAGGAGACTGAAGAGAGAGACAGACTATGTACTTGTTAAGTCTGGAGGGAGATCACTCTTTGTCTATTTGTCCCATTGGCTCCTTGGTCGTCTTTGCCCTCCACAATCCACCAATGGTATGGCGTGGATAGAAAAAGGGTGTTTACAAAGTATTGAACGCCGAGGGAGACTGAAGTGGCACATGCTTCAGTGGACAAACACTGCCACAGACCTCTGACCCCTGATGCTTAGACATGCAACTCAGTTAAATAAAAGAGCATGCCAGAACCTTTGGACGGGTCAACAACTAGTATGTAGAACCATGTTATTTCCCTTTTCTATTGTTAACAAATCAAATCTTATACAAAAATGCACAAGTATAATTTATTCCGAGGTCTGTTCAGATCACTTATAATAATAATTGCAATTGTATAAATAATGTGAAATGAGCTTTAGAGATTTGTCCTCCCAGGACATATAACAGCTAGCCTGCTTATTGAAAGGCTAAACTGTATTGTACTGTGATTTTAAAACAGACCATCAGCACTGTGTTAATTTGTTATGTAAAAACACATCAGCCTCTGCAGATCCAATGACATGATCTTTGTTGATTCAAGTCACTTGGAGATGTTACTGCACTCTCTGTAGCACCTGCGTTCTGCTTGAATGACCTGAAACCAGATCCAATTTAAAGGAAGTAACAAAATTCAGTTCATTTGTAAGTAATTTGTTTGTGGTCAGTGCAAAGCTACAGTACCTTATGCTCACTGCTTATGAGTCCTAATGACGGATTTTGTCAGTGCAGACGTGCAAAAGCGTGACTACAGTATATGGTCATACTGAGGTCAAGCTTAGAAGATGGAGGAATTTTACAACAATGAGACCTCATAAGAACCAAAGAGGTGTGACATTTTATTATTACAAACCTTTCAACAATCTTCAAGTCACTTTAGTCAGTCCTGTGTTACACACAGATGGTTCAGCTGAGGTAAACGTTTTAAGTCTAGTTATAAATTAGCAGAAGAAATGCAGCCCCACAGGACAAAGAGCGACAGTGGAGACACTACGCAAGATTCCGCACTTGGAGGTTTTAATGTACTATTCAGTACATTCTTCATTCCTTACTAATATAAATTTTGTATGGCACATCCTGTATAGAAACCACATCACACATCATATGAAAATAGCTGAATTGTTAAGAAAATACAAATGAAAAATGTATCAAACATTTTTACTCTAATGTTACAGCTTTAGAACAGTGTGAGAAAGTAGACCCATTTATCTTGATACAGGTGAAGTAAAAAATATATATTATACACCTCAGTGTGTATACTACCCTTGGTCCTCTAAGCTCTTTATTGAAATAAAGACTCTTTAATCCTACTCTGCCTGAATACAAATGAAAGATTGAATGATGGCTGACTTGCATTGTAAGACTTCAGTAAGTCATTTTTCATTGACCACTTTTTTACAAGTCCATTGTACTTAGAATGTTTAAAGTTTAAACTAAAATTGAATTGCATGTTTATTGGCTGCTACAATTTATGCATCTACTCTGTAAATCATGTCCTGTGATTTAAAACATTTTGAAATCAAAAGCAAGAGATTTATGCTTTATTTTTTATACTTTTTTTTTACATCCATGATGCCAATATCTTTGCCTGAATCCATTGGAATGAGATTAGCCAATGAAACTACCTCATTTTACACTGTATTCGTATTAAGCAGAAGTAGCCAAAAAATCAGCTTGCCGGCTGAAGCCTCTTCCTTATCTAACCTACAAACAAAAAAACACATCTTGTCCTGCACCTTAGGTTGTTGACTGAGAGACCAAACAAGCATTTATGGGGGAAAAGGGACCAACTAACTTTTAAAAAATCTGATGGGTTAATAGGCTGGTCAGCTGCAAGCACACTAAACAGCATGTAAACATAACTGCAAATATCACTTCAATTTGCTGGGGTGGTCCTTAGTCAGCAGTGCCACTGCTACCAAGACATCATTTGCTTTATAGTAAGCTATGGCATTTAAATGCTGTCGCTCAGTTTGCCAGCTGCTGTCAATCAAACAGAGACAATGACATGCCCCTCTAGACAGTCACAGCAAGCAGTTTTTATTAAGGGGTTTTTCCATTATAGGAACCCACCGAAAGGTGGTGCGCCAAGTAACGCTCATCATGGGTTCTGCGTTTGTTTCCGCTACACTTGGACCACTTTGGAGGTACGGTCTGGGAGCTAAATTTCAGCGCTCTGGAGGCTATGCTTGGTGATGGTTAAGGGAAGTACAGGGTATATGGCTCGTTAGGTTCTTAAAGTGTAAATGCAGCATTAGTGTCCCACTGAGTTCTTTGTGTTGGGCTCTGTAGTATCAGAGACATGATCAGTAGTAGATGTCATGTTTGCACCTGATATTTCTGCAAGTGCCGAGTCTTGTGAGGTCTGGTCTGTTTCTGATGATTGTTCTGTCAACACCTTCTCATCTTCTTGCGGGTACAGCTCTGGGTAATGCTGCATACACTCCTGCATGACCCTGAACTGCTCCAGGCAGTCAGTGCCCTTCACCTCCTCTTTGCTATACTGGAAGCAGGAGAATGCATCCTTAAATTCAGTCCCACAGGGACCACTGGCCATCCCACCCAGGCAGGGGCAATTCCAGTTGATCTCCCCACTGGGAAGAATCAGTCCTAGGGTGAGAGAGGAGGTATAACCAGGATAATAAACTTAAATTTTTCAAATCCCACCAGAGCTGCAATTTAACCTGATGACAGGTTCCTTTAGGCACTTTTATGTCTCCTCACCTTGTTCCTCATATGGGTCATTGGGATCTTCCTCTACGAGCTCAGCACTGCTGGGTGTTGCATGATCTTCTTTGGTGACAAAGATGATTCGGTCTTTACCTGTTGTGTAAAATGAAAAATAGGCAATGAAAACAAACCATCAGTGACAATGGCAATTGCAAAACAGGGCCTAGATTATTAATACTGTACATCTGTGTACATCTTCTGGCCATAAGTGTACTTAAACTATCAAAACTAAATGTACTTATTCATCTGAAAAATGAACCATGTGAATATTAAATTCTTATTACATTGTTAGACTGTTAGTATTACCGACTTAATTAAGTGACTGAGACAAAGTTACTTTTAAGTTCTTAAGGTTTATTTGGGTATTTCAGTCCAGTAGTTCCTGAGCTGGGGAGCGGGCCCCCTGAAACATGGGCCTATCTAAACACTGGTTTGTTGTGAGGGGTCATCAGATTAAAAAGGATGGGAAAACATTAATGCCTAATAATTCATTGTTTTAAAGAATTCTCCCAATTAAAAACTAGGATAACTAAGATGTATTCGAGATGTCAATGTGACAAAGAGCCATTGAATGATTGCAACCCATGTGACTTTCACTGTAAGCATTACAGCATAGCCTACTGTGGCACGATGCAACTTTACTGCTACGTGTTGCTGGTCAAGGTTAAACACTGTGGTTAGTTACCTAAAAGTCCTACTCACTCATGATGTAACAAGTACAAACTTGAAGACCCAATTCTTATCTCAGCGAGAGGCTTGTTAATAGCACTTGAAACAACTTGGCTCTACTCAAACCTTGATTTTCATTTAGACTTCAGCGAACTTAAGTGTTAGCCAGCTTCCCAGTTAAGTTAGCCACAAGACCAGGCTTAGCACAGCATTTTTACCTTCCTCTCTGACCGAGCTCATTTTTTCACACTGGAAAAGATAAAATTCCGCTTTTTAAGTTTCGGCGCCAGCTGAATAAGCATCGAGGAGAATGACTCTTATTAACACATAATATAAAACTGTCAGTTGTTTTAATCAAACATTAACACGTTGTCTCCACAACTATTGGTAGTCTTCTTTAGCTTTCTTGTCTTTTCCTGCTTCCGGTATGGTTGGCACGCCCACGCGCTTTGCTGCCCCCTATAGTTCATAACATTGCATGCGAAGACGTTTAGGCAGAATCAGCTTTATTGGCCAGGTGTGTCGGACACACGAGGAATTTGACTCTGGTACATCGGCTCTCAATGTGTATGTACATATCCCCATGCAAGAGGCAAGTAAACCAACATAAGGCTGTGTAATATAACAAAATAAGCAGTATTAACAAGCAACAAACTGCAAACAATGCAAAATAAACACTATAAACAGGCAGTAAACAATGCAGACAGACAAGGAATGCTCATTGTGATTTCTTATAAAGTACTTAAAAACAGAGACCTGCATGAATCTGAATAGTCTGTACAATGTCCATTTAGGGGTATTTCATTGAGGGTTATTGTCCAGTCATACTGTCGTGGGTCAAGTGCTCATTACAGTGATGGCCTGGGGGAAGAAACTGTCCCTGTGCCTGATTGTCTTGGTGCACAGTGACCCGCAACACCGTCCAGAGGGGAGGAGTTCAAACAGGTTGTGTCCAGGGTGTGAGGGGTCTGCAGTGATCCTCTCCGCCCTCCTTTTGACCCGTGAGGTGTACAGGTCCTCCATGGAGGGCAGGCTTGCACCAATTACCTTTTCTGCAGTCCCGACTGTCCACTGAAGTCCTTACTTGTCCTGTTTGGTTGCTGAGCCAAACCAGACAGTGATGGAGGTGCAGAGAAAAGACTTGATGATTCCTCTGCAGCAGCTCCTGGGGCAGGTCAAACTTCCTGAGCTGGTGCAGGAAGTACATCCTCTGCTTTGCCTTCTTGATGCTTTGCCCACTTCAGGTCCTGGGAGATAGTGGAGCCGAGGAACTTGTAGGACTTTACTGCTGATACAGTGCTGCCAAGTATGGTGAGGGGGGGAAGGTGGGAGGGCTCTTCCTGAAGTCCACTGTCATCGGTCCTTCGAGATGCAGTCATTGGTGTAGAGTGAAAACAGCAGAGGGGAGAGCACACATGTTTATTGTCCGGGTGCTGGATGTGGTTTTCCCCTGCTGCTTCCTGTCTTCAGAAAGCTAGTAATCCACTGACAGGTGGGGGCAGGCACAGTGAGCTGGGTCAGTTTGGAGTGGAGGATGTCCGGGATGATGGTGTTAAATGCAGAACTGAAGTCCACAAAGAGGGCCCGTGCATAGGTTCCTGGGGAATTGAGGTGTTGCAGGATGTACAGTGCCATGTTCACTGCATCGTCCACTGACCTGTTTGCCCGGTAGGCGAACTGCAGGGGGTCCAGCAGGGGATCTACGATGTCCTTCAGGTGGACCAACACCAGTCTTTCAAAGGACTTCATAACTACAGATGTCAGGGGGACAGGTCTGTAATCGTTCAGCCCACTGATGGAGGTTCTCTTGGGGACTGGAATGATGGTGGAACGTTTGAAGGAGGAGGGGACTTCACACTTCTTATGTTTACTGGCGTAGTCTGTATTTCCACAGAATGATGCTTGTCACCTCACATAAGTTTTTAAAAGTATAAAATATTTGAACCTACAGCCTTTACTCCAACTTTTGTAAATTATGGCATCACTTTTAGTTGATAACCAAAAAATGTCATTTTCAAATAGGCCTAAAGCAACATTTAAAAAGCATGTTAAAAAAAAAAAAAAAAAAAAAAAAAAAAACCCACCCCCCAAAAAATCAATCCAACGTTAAAAGTATTTTCTAACAAATGTTTTTATTGAGAATGTTTTTCTAGAAGTTTGTTCTGAAATGCATTTATTTTTTTTACATATTCAAAAACTTATGTTACACTTAAGACGAGTTCAAAGTTATTCAATGCATGGCCTATGTACAGAAATTCAGGTCCGAAAAAGTGATTATGGAAACTGTGCTTAGAGCAGACAATTAAAAAAACAAAAATTCTTGGGAAGGTAAGAAAAATGAATGTGACATTCGGAGTAATACTGCAGCTCCCTGGGAATGTCATTACACATTACAACAGTGAGGACACTTTTTTTTTTTTTGGACTGGTTCATCAGATGACAGTTCACAAACATAAAATGAAGTCTTTATTTTAACAGGTGCAACCCAACATGAGCTCCACATAATCTTCTTGCAAGACGGTTCAAATAAAACTTATAAGACAGGATAAAAAAAACAAATTAAAAAAAAAGTGAAAAATATACAGCACTTGACTCAGTGTCTTGCAATTCAGCTTCTGGTCCACACCTTTACCTGATGGCAGGTTTAGAGTAAAATAAAATAAAGTTTAAAGCAAGGGCATAAACTAAGACAACACCAAGCAAACGGTTGAGTGCTTGTATGCACACAGCAGGGAGCTGAACACCACCTTCCAAGTCGAGTATGCCTGTATAATGAAGCGCTGTCTAGTCAGTCTTAAAAAAATGAACCAGACTCCCACAGGACTTCATTTTCATACACAAAGGAGTCCTTTGAATGAGTCTTAGGTGAGTGATTTAGTAAATCTGATGATGTATAAGTGAGATGTCTGTCTTTGTGTTACTTTGGAAGATATGTGGAGGGAGCAACGAGCCATGTAGTTCTACCTACCACCTCACAAAGTCCCATTTCAGCTGAGAGTCCTGATTACTCAAACATCCTGAAACTGGAAAGCTGATGATGTAGGAGCTTCACGCAGTTGTAAAATAAATGCAAAGTTGGTGATCATAAATCATAATAAAAGTGGGCAGAAGATCGGAGGGTTTTGGCTGTTCTAGAAGAGCAGGGCTCCCATGCTGCCAACTTCGCTCTGTTCTTTCACAAAGATCTCAAAGTACTGATAGATGATGGTGACGGCCAACAGGATACCGGTGCCAGAGCCGATGGCTCCGAGGAAGTCAGCCATTACTGATAAACCACCGATACATAGTCCACCAAAGGCAGCAGCAGTGGGAATGTACCTAGAACGTAAGTGACATCAATATTAATACATAAAATGT